AATATCGGAACAACATTGAATGTGATAACAAAGTACAATTGATCTAGAAGAGGATAACTTTCCGTTATTGTGATTAGACGGTTAAAATAAACAATAGGAGATTAATTTTATTTAAGGTGCAATAGACCGTCAGCGCTTAATTATTTATTTATAAAAGGGGGCAGCGTCAAATGCACCTTCATATTTTTCTTTGCAATCCTTTCTTTCTATTCGCCGTCTTGTACAAAACGCAAATGTATAAATGGGAAAATGAATTAGCAAAATTCCATAAGCTTAAACGACGATCCTCAACTGGCCACAGACATCAAAAGAGGCAATGAGAAGCAAAGAAGCAGGACCTTCAAATCTCTCGTAAAAATCCCTCTTATTGCATGAACGTATTCAATTTCCTTCACATTAATTAAAGATTAATTAATACACAAAATAATTGGCAAAATTACTGTTCTGTATAAACCTCAAACTCATCTTCATTATTATTATTATTATTATTATTTAGTGTTATGTCTGACGACAGGTCCATATGAACAGGATCCTTCCATCCTTTTCTCGGACTGGGACCTGTTCATATACGTTCTTGGCAGATGATCCAGAAGTGGTTTGCCATTGCCTTCTTCTGTGTGTGAATGGGATGCCACAGAGAAACCGGGGAAGCCCCCGGAGGAAAACTCCGTGTTGCCTAGACCACGGCCTTGCCCAACACAAGTTATAAATTCGGGCACCGCCGGGAATCAAACCCGAGACCCCAGGATTACAAGGCCAGCGTTCTAACCGCTAGACCACCGTGGCGGTCCATTTTCATTACTGGAAAGAAAAGAGATGCATTAAGTTTCCGAACCGAACCCTTACCTCAGCATAAACCCTATTTGTCTTTCTCAATGTTGTTCCACGCATTCTTAATGATTTATCGCATACTTTAAACAATACATTATTCAAATATTCAAAAACCGGTATAAGAGTCATACGTTAAAAATGCATTAACCGTTATCAGATAGGCAAGACCTTATCACTTCTCGTCCACTTTATACGTCGTACAAAAGGACAGACTCAAATATATGGAAATTTAAGCTTGGATTTATTACATTTTAGTAAACAAGCTAAAGTAGACTTCGAACGGGGTTGAAAGCACCCAATTCTTGCAGAAAGCAACGAAAAAATAAGAACATTAATTTCTTTAAAAGAAATAACAATGCACTTTCTTGGGGGAAACTGCAAACGAGGAAGTTCAATCCGACAATGTACAGAACGCAAACCAATTTCATCTCAGTCGTCCCGTGAACATCCTTCCCGCGTTTCCTGAATTCACCTTTCCTAAAAAAAACCCATCATCATCAACGTGACAGAGACGGAGACCATCAACATGGGCTCGTTTCCATCCGCCCACGGGCTATGACGAATTGACTGATAACCAATAAATCATTTTCGACGAAACAGCGGTGGCTCGGCCGATGTACAAGTAACGGAGTTGGTGTAATTCGTAACAGACAAATCGGATTCTGCCAGGGTCAAAGAGAACGACGTAAATACGACCGGGAAAGACTAGGAGATCGCTTTACAAATGATTGCGAAGCCGCGTTATTTCCGCCAGGATAGAAAATTATTTCGACAGAGGGGGGGAAAAAAACTGGCTTGTGGGTGACATCACAATTCCAGGAAACTGGTAGCTATTCTACTAGTAACTGAAACCCGAGATAAATGTTTTCTGCAAGGCGTGGCCAAGACTTCCACCGCGACAGCTACGAGCCGCTCGCATCGGTAGGACACGCGCCAAGAGGTTTGCCCAAGTGCTCGGTACTAGAAAAACCCTTTCCATAAGAGGAACGAAGGAAAAAGAATTATGAAGTCGTTTTGTGATAGCGTCCCCAGGTGGAGGAAGGCCACCAGGCATGGACGGCAGATGCCAATATACTAAGCCGGAGCAGACAGCCGACAAGGGGAGGTCCTGCAGCTTGTTGGATGTTCGGGGGACAAACAACGCCCGTCGTAAAAAAAAATAACACTCCCCGAGAAATTAAACAGGGTCTCGGTCTTG